CAGACCAACAGAACAGAACAGAACGCCCTAAAAGGAAACCCACACAGCTGCAGCCAACTGGTTTTTGATAATGCTGCCGAGAACTTGCAATAGAAAAGGACAGTCTTTTTCAATAAATGATGTAGGTAAAATTGGATATCCAAATGCAGAAAATGAAACTGGATCCCTATCTCTCACCCTGTACAACAATCTACTCAAAATGGATCAGACCTAAGTGTGAGGCCTGAAGCTTTGAAACCATTAGAGGAAAAATATGTGAAACACTTCAGGACACCGGACACTGGAGCAAGGATGCTGCAGACCAGGCCCCCAAAAGAACAGGAAACAGAAGCACAGACAAACAAGCAGGATTTCATCAGACTAACACGCTTCTGCACAGCAGAGGAAATAATCAACTGAAGTTCACTCTTCCAAGAAGCAATTACAAACTGGTTTTCATCTAAGTTTCAGAAAATTTTCTTTGAATTTTAGTATTTGTCCTATATCCTTGATTTGTTTTCATCTTAGCTATTATGCAGGTGACAGTCTTCCCCTAAAAGAGCCTTCTGTAAGCTTCACGGTGACTGCATCAACAGATCTGTTGACATCACCCCAAAGATACAAAAACATGAGAAGCAAGGAAACACGACACCACAAAAGGAGGCAAATTATCTTCCAGTAACTGACCCTAGAGAGATGCAAATTTATGAATTTCAGGAAAAGAACTGGAAATAATATCCAGGAATTCAATGATATGAGAGAATAAAAATGAACAATTAAATAAAAATCAAGAAAACAATTTATGTGAATGAGAAATGTAACAAAGAGATTATTAAAAATTAGAGCTGAACAATTCAATCAATAAACTAAAAAATACAACAGAGAATTCATTAGCAGACTAGAATAAGCAGAAGAAAGAACTTGGGAATTTGAAGGCAGGCCTTTTAAAATGATTCCATCAGATAGGAACAAAAGGAATGAAAATGGATAGTGATGCTATGGGGTATCATTCAAAAATTTTTTTGCATTATCAGCTTCCTAGAAAGATTAAAAACACAGAAAGGAAAAGTGTATTTAAGGAAATTGTGGGGAGCAAACCGGACTAGACTGAGTTACTGGAATTAAGACTTATTCTATGCATCTGCTCTCCCACAATATGGCGCTGGGAGAGAAGTAAACAGCTTCCGCACAGCAGCCTCCACTTCAACCAATAAACTGTAGGACTTGCTACTGATTGGAGGAGAGCAGCGTACTCGGCGTGTGGGCAGCCGAGTTGGGATTGGCGGAGGAGGACTATAAAGGAGGAGAGAGACGGCATGCACCAGGAACATCTAAGGGGAACATCTAGCTGAAGGAACACCTGTGCAGCCCCCGAGAAAGCCGGCCAGCGGTGTGCCGCTCCCCTGCGGAAGTGGGGAATGTGGCCAGGGGGAACCGCCCTTCCACGGAGGTGGAAGGGACAGTAGCCAACCCGGGAAGAACCAGCAGCAAACCCAGGGAGGGCCAAGCAGACGAAAGAACAGCGCAGGGTCCTGTGTCGTTCCTCCACGAAGAGGGGGAGCGACATAATGGTGCCGTGACTCGGATAGGAAACCTAGGACGGATATGAAACTTAGGAGGGAAGAAACAGGAAGAACTGGGAAAATATTGGAGAGAGAGACTAGCAAACAGCCTAGGGAAAAGCCGGCCGAAAAAAGGTGCCGGAAGAAGCTATGGAAAGCCTAGGCATAGACTCAGATACGGACTACGGGGGGAAGCTGGGAGAAATCTCTAAGGTCGAAAGCGAAAGTGAAAGCTAGAACAAACAGGCTCCGATGGGGACTGTGGGGAGAGGCCAGGAGAAATGAGGGAGGAATATTGTTGGAAGAAAACTTAGGGAAATATACCGGGTAGAGAAAAGTGTTAGGGAAATTGAAGCCGCGGGGGGCAGGCCAAGGCGGAGACGAAAGCCACTTTGGGATTCTCAAGTTAGCCCGGGAATAGGGGGCGAAAAGTTGAAACCAGAAGCTGAAACGTAAGCCTGGTTGGGATCGGTCTGATTAGCCCGGGGAGCAAAGGACAGGAAGCCAAATCGTGGGGCGGAGACGTAAGCTGGGTTGAATTCGCCAGGCTAGCCCGGGGAACTTAGATTGAATGCTAGTGGCGGACACGTAAGCTACGCTGTGTGACTCGCGGAGGCTGCCGCGCACAGACAGAGCGTGCGGGGCTCAAGTACATAGGGAACGCGGGGCTAGCGCGGAGACCGCGGAGTGTGCGCGCAAAGCCGAGCCACGCAGATGAGAGAGGCGCGGGCTGAAGCGGCTCAGAGCCGGCGAGGCGCCGAGAAGCAGCCTCGGGGCGGAGCCCGCTGGCGGGGCGAGGCGCCGGGAAGCCGCGCGGAGCCGTGAAGCTGCCGGCAGGGCGAGGCGCCGGGAAGCTGCAGGGATAAGAGAAATAGAAGTTTAGAAGTAAAGTGAGAGAAATAGGAATGCTGGAAGATAGAAGTAAAATGGGAGAAATAGGAATGCCCGGAGATAGAGAAATAGAGAAATAGAAAGGCCTCCCCTCAACATGGCAATGAGAGAGCTTGGATTCGGTCTGCCTGATTAAGTGAGGCGATGAGCACCTGCGGGCGGCTAGCAGCTTATGCACCGCAGGTCACCGAAGACAGGCACGAATTAACATCAGTAAGGCCTCCCCACAATACAACAATTAGGAGGCTTGGATTCGGTCTGCCTGATTAGTAAGGCGGTAAGCACCAGCAAGCGGCTCGACCAGAGTGTGAGCCGCAGGTCACCGAACACAGGCACGCATCAGCGCCTAAAAACCTCCTCACAACATGGCGAAGAGAGGACCCGGATTTGGTTTGCCTGATTGATAGGACTTGTAAGAACCTGTGGCAACTCTAGCAAGTAGAGCAGAGTGTGTGCCGCGGGACACCGAAGACAGGCGCGTATCAACGCCAAAAATAAAAAGAAAGGGGGATCTGTGGGGAGCAAACCGGACTAGACTGAGTTACTGGAATTAAGACTTATTCTATGCATCTGCTCTCCCACAATATGGCGCTGGGAGAGAAGTAAACAGCTTCCGCACAGCTGCCTCCACTTCAACCAATAAACTGTAGGACTTGCTACTGATTGGAGGAGAGCAGCGTACTCGGCGTGTGGGCAGCCGAGTTGGGATTGGCGGAGGAGGACTATAAAGGAGGAGAGAGACGGCATGCACCAGGAACATCTAAGGGGAACATCTAGCTGAAGGAACACCTGTGCAGCCCCCGAGAAAGCCGGCCGGCGGTGTGCCGCTCCCCTGCGGAAGTGGGGAATGTGGCCAGGGGGAACTGCCCTTCCACGGAGGTGGAAGGGACAGTAGCCAACCCGGGAAGAACCAGCAGCAAACCCGGGGAGGGCCGAGCAGACGAAAGAACAGCGCAGGGTCCTGTGTCGTTCCTCCATGAAGAGGGGGAGCGACAGGAAATAATTTCTGAAAACTTCCCAAGTTGGAACAGATGTCAACATCCAGATCCAGGAAATTCAAAGTTCCCCAGGTACAGGAAAAAAGAAGACAGCAATCTTCTCCAATACATATTATAATCAAACTGTCAAAAGTCAATGAGTATTTAAAAAGCAGCAAGAGAGGGCTGCTATTGTGGCATAAGGGGTTAAACTGCCGCCAGCAACACCAGCATCCCATGTGGGTGCTGGTTTGAGTCCTGGCTGCTCCACTGTCAATCTAGCTTCCTGCCAATGTGCCTGGGAAAGTGCTGGAAGGTCTGGGCCCTTGCACCCATATGGGAGACCCGGATGGGGCTCCTAGTTTCTGGTTTCAGCCTGGCCTAGCCCTGGTCACTGTGGTCATTCAGGGGAGTGAACCAGAAGATGGAAGCGCTCTCTCTCTCTCCCCTCTCCCTCTCTCCCTCTTTCACTTTATCTCTGTAACTCTAGCTTTCAAATAAGTAAAATAAATCTTTTTTTTTTAAAGGAGAAAGAGGGGCAAGTGTTTGGCATAGTGGTTAATTAGAGAACCTGGGTCCACTCCTGGCTCAAGTTTCCTAATGTAGACCATGGGAGGCAGCAGGTGATGGATAGCTCAAGGAATGGTCCCACCCATGTTGGAGAGCTAGGTTGAGTTTTTGAACAAACTAAAGACAAAATTAGCAGCGGGAAGAATATAATGATAATCAGAGCAGAAATCCTAGATAATAAGAAATAATAAGATAAATCAAACTGTGAGGTGGCTGCTGTAATCCAAATGTTGTATTTTAGAAATTTATATTAAATAAAAGTTTAAAAAAAACCTGAGGTGGTTTTCTGGAAAAAAGAAAAAAAAACAAAATGGGCAAATATTAGCTAGTCTAGGGAGAAAAGGAAGATGCAGAACAAAGATGGAATTTGAAGAAATTGTGACAATTACCTCAGAATTAAAAAGGAGCATAGTGATTGTTATGAACAATTAACTGCCAATGTATTAGCAAATCTAAAGGCAATGGATTTGCTAGGAAAATGCAACTGGCCACGACTGGGTTAGCAAGAAATAGAAAAGAGTGAAAACATGAATAACAAATAAAGAGACTGAATAAATGGAGGGAAGAAGGAGGTGAGCATATGGCCCAGTGGAGATGATGCTGGTTAAGACACATGTGTCTCATATCAGAATACCTGGGTTCAATACCTGGTTCTGGCTCCTGACTGATTTTTGGACCCTGGGAAGAAGTGGTGATACCCAAGGTAACTGTATCGGCCTCCCACATGAGAGGCCTGGGTTGAGTTTCCAGCTTCTGGCTTTCATCCCCCGTCCCCATCCCCAGCATTGACTGTTGCAGGTATCTGGGGCGGGGGGGGGGGGTTGAATTAATGGATAGGGGAGCTCTCTCTTTCTCTCCCCCTCCTTACTTCCTAAATTAATTAATTACATATTTAAAAAGAGATCGAAGAAACAATATAAAGTTTCCAATACAGAAAAGTCCAGGACCAGTCACCTCCCAGTTAACTTCTACCAAAGAGTCAAAAGAAAAAAAATTCATATTGCCATGTGCATGCTCTCACCATCCTCCACCACTCCTGGTGTTGTGTGTGTGCTCCTTTGGTGCCGACCTCGTTCCACAGCTGTGCTTCTGCAGCTGAAGAGACTCCGTCGCTTGCCCTGGCCAACAAAAGGCCAATGGGGGCAGTCTAGGCTGAGAACAAGGATCCTATTAATTTGAAGGTGGTGGAGTAGGATGGTTCTGTGGTGAGGGTTAAGATTAAGAGGCCTACACCACTTAGTAGACTAATGAGAGCCTCTTGTGGACCACAGGGTTTGTCAGTGAGGCAGGTTAGTGTCCCATTTGATGGGCAGCCAACCCATGAATCAGACATACATGCACAGCTGGACATGGATAGACATGTTCCAACAGCAGACAGGAGGTGTCTACCAACAAGGGAACCTGCTGTTTTACTCTAGAACTCTGTCCTTACAGACCCAGACTACATTCTCAAGGAGAAAGCTGCAATTTGGTTCCATCACAACCTGAGTACTGCAGTATAGTTTTCTCTGTTCTTTCATTTTCCCCTTCCCATTCCTTTATTGCACACCAAGTCACTGGTGTAGGTGCGCAAACATACTTTCTCTCTTTCCCTCCTCCCTCCCTCTCTCTTTCTTTTTCTAAATGGCCAGTGGTGGTATGCTTTAATGGACACCCAATGGAGATGAAATGGGGGGAAATACTGTTTCTGTGCGAAAATATCCCCTTCTCTGGGAGTGGCATGCTCATTCGGCTCCCATTCCAGTAAGTTATTTTGCTCTCCTTGTCTTAACAAAAGCAAACAAGCCCCACCCCCACCCAATTCCTTGCTTGATTGGAGAATTTTCATGTTTTTCATTTATCATCAAAAACCAAGAATATTTTAATAACATTTTGTACGTAGCTGTTAAATGTAGAATAATCTGCCTTTATGAGGGGCAAATTACTCTTACAAAATGAATCTTAGTTTTCTCTTTGAGCGTCTTGTTTAAATACACTTCTTGTTTAAACTGAAAAAAATAATTATACCAATACATTTTGTACTTCTTCCAAGACTGAACTGGATGGAATAATTTCTAACACATTTTATGGCAGCATCAGCTTGATACGTAGGCCAAGGACATCACAAAGAAGTAAAACTACAGCCAATCTCACTGATGAATATTTATGTAAAAAGCCTCAATAAAATATTACCAAACCAATCCAACAACTCAGCAAAAAGACTACATGTCATGGCCAAGTGAAATTTGTCTCAAGCATGGGAAGTCTGATTTAATATACACAACTCATAGCTCAGAAATCTGAAAATAGATTGACAAATTAGCACAACCATTATGGAAAATAGTATGGGAGTCTCTCTAGCAAAACAGAACTAAGTAAAATCCCGCAATTCCACTACTGGGTCGATGTCCAAAGGATGCGACATCAGTGTGTCAAAAGGATATCTCCATTCCATGTTGATGGCAGCGCTACTCACAACAGCTGAAATATGGAATCAGCCTATTACTGTGATTCAGCAACTGGAGGTATAGAGTATGATATATCCAGAAAAGGCATCAAGCAATGAAATGCCACCTAGAACATAATTAAATAATTGTGAAGAGTGAAGAGCATCAATACCTCCAGATGGCCGCTCCTAAATGATTAAATATTACAACTTCCTTTTCAAGAACTAGCCCTCTCTAACCTGACTGCCATCCTGTTTCCTCAAGAATATTTTACGTATATTTAGAAGTAGAATAAATTAGGTAATATTGTCTCCACTTTCATACACAAATGTAATTTTAACTAAATTTTTTAAAAAATTTTAGTTAGCATTATCATTAAGTCTTAATGCTAAAATTGAGTGAAATAGGAATGAATATGGCTTACATTGGAAAAACCACTTACTGTGTGATAGAAGCACCAAGACCATTTGTACATTCAGTCTGCATGAGCTGGAAAGAAGGAGTAATGCAGGAGGGCTTGAATAGATTTCTCATGCCTTCATTTAATAATAGATTCCTAACATGTCATCATCAACCCCTGCTTTGATGGAAATGCAAGTAGGAAAAAATGTTAAAATGGAAATTCTGGGGCCAGCGATGTGGCATGGTTGGTAGGGCCACCACCTGCAGTGCCGGCATCCCATATGGGCGCTGGTTTGAGTCCTGGTTGCTTCACTTCTGATCCAGCTCTCTGCAATGGCCTGGGAAAGCAGAAGAGGATGGTCCAAGTCCTTGGGCCCCTACACCCACCTGGGAGACCTGAGGGAAGCTCCTGGCTCCAGATAGATGCAGTTCCAGCTGTTGTGGCCATGTGGAGAGTGAACCAGCAGATGCAAGACTTCTCTCTTTCTCTGCCTCTCTTGTAACTCTGCCTTCCAAATAAATAAATTAATAAATATTAAAAACAAAGCCTGGAATTCTTATTCTCCATGATACTCATAGACTTTTTGCCTCACAAAGCCTACTGTTTGAGTTATCCTACTATGCATATGTGTGTCATCTCCCTGAAATTGAGTGTAAGCCAACCTACTTGAGGATTAAGGCCAACTCTCAACAGACCACACCTTCCATTTTCTAAACCACATACAAATTTCAACATTAAAGTAATTTAAAATATACAATGGCTACCCTTAATTCAAGCAAGCTAACAGTACATACATTACGTACCTCTCAATGCACACTAACCTCCGTATCTATGATTTCAAAGTTATCACAATAGCTTAAATATAATTTTATAACATCAGGGCCACAGCAAAAAAAGAAAAATCTCAAGATGTTTTAATCATTTAAGTAAATATTTATCTTTGCCCTTAATATGCTTTCTTTCAAATGCTTCCACAACAGGTAAATCTTTTCTTTTTTTTTTATCTTTTATTTAATGAATATAAATTTCCAAAGAACAGCTTATGGATTACAATGGCTTCCCCCCCATACCGTCCCTCCCACCCACAACCCTCCCCTTTCCCACTCCCTCTCCCCTTCCATTCACATCAAGATTCATTTTCGATTATCTTAATATACAGAAGATCAGCTTAGTATACATTAAGTAAGGATTTCAACAGTTTGCTCCCACACAGAAACATAAAGTGAAAAGTAATAGATGATTTTTTTAAATGATGATGAAATCAGATCAGACCTATTGTCATGTTTAATCCCAGTGAGAGTCAAGTTGGGAATTGATAATTTCTTTTTTTTTTTTACAGAAGATCAGTTTAGTATATATTAAGTAAAGATTTCAACCGTTTGCACCCCCATAGAAACACAAAGTGAAATATATTATTTGAGTACTCGTTATAGCATTAAATCTCAATGCACAGCACATTAAGGACAGAGATCCTACATGAGGAGTAAGTGCACAGTGACTCCTGTTGTTGACTTTACCAATTGACACTCCTGTCTATGGCATCAGTAATCTCCCTATGCTCCAGTCATGAGATTCCAAGGCTATGGAAGCCCCCTGAGTTCTCCGACTCTTATCTTGTTTAGACACGGTCATAGTCAAAGTGGAGGTTCTCTCCTCCCTTCAGAGAAAGGTACCTCCTTCTTTGAAGACCTGTTCTTTCCACTGAGATCTCACTCACAGAGATCTTTTGCCAGAGTGTCTTGGCTTTCCATGCCTGAAATACTCTCATGGGCTTTTCAGCCAGATCTGAATGCCTTTAGGGCTGATTCTGAGGCCAGAGTGCTATTTAGGACATCTGCCATTCTATGAGTCTGCTGAGTATCTCACTTCCCATGTTGGATCACTCTCCCCTTTATTTATTCTATCGGTTAGTGTTAGCAGGTACTAGACTTGTCTATGTGCTCCCTTTGACTCTTAGTCCTTTCATTATGATCAATTGCGAACTGAAATTGATCACTTGGAATAGTGAGATGGCATTGGTACATGCCACCTTGATGGGATTGAATTGGAGTCCCCTGGTATGTTTCTAACTCTACCCATTGGGGCAAGTCAGCTTGAGCATGTCCCAAATTATACATCTCTTCCCTCTCTTATTCCCACTCTTATGTTTAACAGGGATCACATTTCAGTTAATTTTCAACACTTAAGAATAACTGTGTATTAATTACAGAATTAAACCAGTCATATTAAGTAGAACAGACAAAAAAAATACTAAGAGGGATAATGTATTAAGTTGTTCATTAACAGTCAGGGCTATGCTGATCAAGTCACCATTTCTCATAGTGTCCATTTCACTTCAACAGGTTTCCTTTTTGGTGTTCAGTCAGTTGTCACCAATCAGGGAGAACATATGGTATTTGTCCCTTTGGGACTGGCTGATTTCACTCAGCATGATGTGTTCCAGATTCCTCCATTTTGTTGCAAATGACTGGATTTCGTTGTTTCTTACTGCGGTATAGTATTCTAAAGAATACATATCCCATAATTTCTTTATCCAGTCTACTGTTGATGGGCATTTAGGTTGGTTCCAGGTCTTGGCTATTGTGAATTGTGCTGCAATAAACATTAGGGTGCAGACCGCTTTTTTGTTTGTCAATTTAAACTCCTTTGGGTAAATTCCAAGGAGTGGGATGGCTGGGTCGAACGGTAGGGTTATATTCAGGTTTCTGAGGAATCTCCAGACTGACTTCCATAGTGGCTTGCCAGTTTGCATTCCCACCAACAATGGGTTAGTGTCCCTTTTTCCCCACATCCTCGCCAGCATCTGTTGTTGGTAGATTTCTGTATGTGAGCCATTCTAACCGGGGTGAGGTGAAACCTCATTGTGGTTTTGATTTGCATTTCCCTGATTGCTAGAGACCTTGAACATTTTTTCATGTGCCTGTTGGCCATTTGGATTTCCTCTTTTGAAAAATGTCTATTGAAGTCCTTGGCCCATCTCTTAAGTGGGTTGTTGGTTTTGTTTTTGTGGAGTTTCTTGATCTCTTTGTAGATTCTGGTTATTAACCCTTTATCTGTTGCATAGTTTGCAAATATTTTTTCCCATTCTGTCGGTTGTCTCTTCACTCTCCTGACTGTTTCTTTTGCAGTACAGAAACTTCTCAATTTGATGCAATCCCAATAGTTGATTTTGGCTTTGACTGCCTGTGCCTCCCGGGTCTTTTCCAGAAATTCTTTGCCTGTGCCAATATCTTGAAGGGTTTCTCCAATGTTCTCTAATAACTTGATGGTGTCAGGTCATAGATTTAGGTCTTTAAACCATGTTGAGTGGATTTTTGTGTAAGGTGTAAGGTAGGGGTCTTGCTTCATGCTTCTGCATGTGGAAATCCAGTTTTCCCAGCACCATTTATTGAATAGACTGTCCTTGCTCCAGGAATTGGTTTTAGATCCTTGATCAAATATAAGTTGGCTGTAGATGTTTGGCTTGATTTCTGGTGTTTCAATTCTGTTCCATTGGTCTATCCATCTGTTTCTGTACCAGTACCATGCTGTTTTGATTACAACTGCCCTGTAGTATGTCCTGAAAGCTGGTATTGTGATGCCTCCGGCTTTGTTTTTGTTGTACAAGATTGCTTTAGCTATTCGAGGTCTCTTGTACCTCCATATGAATTTCAGCATCATTTTTCTAGATCTGCGAAGAATGTCTTTGGTATCTTGATTGGGATTGCATTGAATCTATAAATTGCTTTTGGGAGAATGGACATTTTGATGATGTTGATTCTTCCAATCCATGAGCATGGCAGATTTTTCCATTTTTTGGTATCCTCTTCTATTTCTTTCTTTAAGGTTTTGTAATTCTCATCGTAGAGATCTTTAACGTCCTTGGTTAAGTTTATTCCAAGGTATTTGATTGTTTTTGTAGCTATTGTGAATGGGAATGATCTTAGCAGTTCTTTCTCAGCCATGGCATTGCTTGTGTATACAAAGGCTGTTGATTTTTGTGCATTGATTTTATATCCTGCCACTTTGCCAAACTCCTCTATGAGTTCCAATAGTCTCTTAGTAGAGTTCTTTGGATCCTCTAGGTAAAGAATCATATCGTCTGCAAAGAGGGATAGTTTGACTTCTTCCTTCTCAATTTCTATTCCTTTAATTTCTTTTTCTTGTCTTATGGCTCTGGCTAAAACTTCCAGAACTATGTTAAATAGCAGTGGTGAGAGTGGGCATCCCTGTCTGATACCAGATCTCAGTGGAAATGCTTCCAACTTTTCCCCATTCAATAGGATGCTGGCCGTGGGTTTTTCATAAATTGCTTTGATTATATTGAGGAATGTTCCTTCTATACCCAATTTGCTTAGAGTTTTCATCATGAAAGGGTGTTGAATTTTATCAAATGCTTTCTCGGCATCTATTGAGATAATCATATGGTTTTTCTTCTGCGGTCTGTTAATGTGGTGAATCACATTGATTGATTTGCAAATGTTGAACCATCCCTGCAGACCAGGGATGAATTCCACTTGGTCTGGGTGGATGATTTTCCTGATGTGTTGTTGTATTCTGTTGGCCAGAATTTTATTGAGGATTTTTGCATCTATGTTCATCAGGGATATTGGTCTATAATTTTCTTTCAGTGCTGCATCTTTCTCTGGCTTAGGGATTAAGGTGATGCTGGCTTCCTAGAAAGAATTTGGGAGGATTCCTTCTTTTTCTATTGTTCTGAATAGTTTGAGAAGAAATGGGATTAGTTCTTTAAATGTCTGCTAGAATTCAGCAGTGAATCCATCTGGTCCTGGGCTTTTCTTTGTTGGGAGGGCCTTTATTACTGTTTCAATTTCTGTTTCAGTTATGGGTCTATTTAGGTTTTCTATGTCTTCATGGTTCAATTTAGGTAGATTGCATGTGTCCAGGAATCTATCCATTTCTGATAGATTTTCTTGTTTGCTGGCATACAAGTCCTTGTAGTAATTTCTGATGATTCTTTTTATTTCTGTGGTGTCTGTTGTTACGTTTCCTTTTTCATCACTGATTTTATTGAATTGCGTCTTTTCTCTTCTTTTTTTAGTTAGTTGGGCCAATGGGGTGTCAATTTTGTTTATTTTTTCAAAAAACCATCTCTTCACTTGGCTGATTTTTTGTAATTTTTTTGGATTCAATCCTGTTAATTTCTTCTCTGATTTTAATTATTTCTCTTCTCCTACTAGATTTGGGTCTGGTTTGCTGCAGTTTTTCTAGGTCCTTGAGATGCGCTGAAAGCTCATCTCTTTGGTGCCTTTCCAATTTCTTGGTATAGGCCCCTATTGCTATAAACTTGCCTCTCAATACTGCTTTTGCTGTATCCCATAAGTTTTGATATGTTGTGTTGTTATCCTCATTTACTTCCAGAAAGTTTCTGATTTCTCTTTTGATTTCTTGAATGACCCAGTGTTCATTCAGGAGCATGTTGTTCAGTCTCCATGTGTTTGCATACTTTCTGGGGTTTCCTGAGTTGCTAATTTCCAGCTTCATTCCGCTGTGGTCTGAGAAGCTGCA